GATCTGTCATTAGGACTTATGAACGAAAAGTGGATCATGACGCAGGATGGTAGACATACACAAATAGTGGGTTGATTTCCACGATAATATTCCACTACTTGATCAATTCCAGACAAAACGATTAGTCAAACGATTACTTTGGTAGCCCCGAGAAGTACTCAACCACCCTTCAAAATTCATGCAGTTCTCATGCAATTAATCATTTCAAACAATCTTATGCAAGTGATCGGATAATTCGCAATGAAACCAAAAGATTCAACTTCTCTCTCTCCTTGGTCAATCATCGATTTTGAAACAACTTCATTTCTGGCTACATACGATAGCATATTCGACCCTTCAAAACAAATCGTTCCCCTCGGTGCTGGTGAATTGAAAACATTGTCCCTCGTCCAACCATTTTTCAACGCTCGAATCATATATGCCTTGACGCTCCGTGGTAGATCTTTGGCTGCGTCTTTAAAGATGATCACCAGTGTCCGTTCTTTGAGCCAACGCACTTTTATCTGTTCAAAGTCCGAATTCACCTTTATAATCGCTTCTCTATCGATATCCGGTATATTGCCTTTTTCGTAGCACTGAGCTATGAGTTCTCCGACTCTCGGTTCAGTCATCTCCAAGATTTATGGACCAGATGGTGAAGATCTTGCTCTATCAAACGCTCGCTCCTCCACGACTACTTTCTCCTGTCTTATTATCACTCCTTCTGCCATGACGTACTCAGACACAATTTTAGAATATTAGCCTATAGTTAATACTACGACCTACGAGTCCTATCGAAAGGAACCCCTTTGAGGTTTTCTGCTTTGATCCCTTGTTTCTCGTCAAAATCTTTAAAAGTTTCATTGATCTCGTATTCATAACTTTTTGTTCGAATGCTAGTTCATACAATTTTACCGAAGGAACTTTCTTCGAAAGTTGTGAAACGATGATACTTACTAATCAACGACAATATCAATTGACGCTTTGAAGACCACCTGCTAAAGTAGAGGTCAGACCTTATTGCTATCCTCTACTCGTCATTCCACTCCTCTTCTCAAAGGCGGGCACGTAAGAGCACTCGCCCAATTCACCCCGCTTCATGCCATTTGCCAGCTCAACATGCCTGGACGTCATCCCGCTCCGCTACTTAACTGTCACTGTTACTATTCATCTTTAACCTTCCGCTACGTTTAACCCTAGAAAAACCGAAAAGCTATGGCTACTGAAACCTTCGCGTTCTGTGTTACAGCGAAACAATAGTACAGTGAAAACGAAAGTAGATATCGCTCACTTCACCAATGAGAGCTCGTTATCAGGTAGACATCAACGACAAAGTTTTTGCCTTGTTGTTTTATATGTTTTTTTTTTTTTTTTTTTTTTTTAAATATTTTTTTGCAGTTAGTTAGCATGGTCTTCACTCTATGAATTGGTGGCAAGTTTGATTAAAATTACCCTTTGTTTTTTTTTTAATAAATGGCATGGCACGTGGTCTGAAAATTAGGGTCTTCGTTAACCTTCTCTCGTGCTAAATTTTGTGTCATTTTGAGAATTGAAATCTCCTCTGTTAAGATTTATGAAATAAAAATGTTAACAAAATTTCATGAAGAATGAATTTTTATCTTGGTGTTTTATATGTTTTTTATTGTATTTTTTTGGATTTTTTTTTGCAGTTAGTTAGTATGAGCTGCAAAAAAAAAAAAGAAACTAAAATAAAAAAAAACTTATAAAATAGAAATGTAAAAGTGCACTTTCTTGCAAAATTCACCAACATTCAGTTTCAGAAATCTTAGTTGAGGAAATTTTAATGTTCCAAATGAGACCAAATTTGGTACACAACAACCTTGAACCAAGCAAAAAATAGTTAAAAAAAAAAAAAAAAAAAAAAAAAAACCCGTAAAATTTGACCCTCAAACCTTAAATTTCAGTTTTGGACCTGTTAGTCAGGAGCTGAAATTGGGGGTTCTTGTTAACCACGTGTGAGTGGAAAATGGCCCTTGGATTTTGTTATAAATGGCATGACAAGTTGTATGAAAATTAGGGTCTCCGTCAACCGCCTCTCTCTCCACTCTATGAATTGGTGACAAGTTGGATTAAAATGACTCTTTGGTTTTCTTATAAATGGCATGGGAAGTGGTATGAAAATTAGGGTCTCTGCTAACCTTCTCTCTTGGTAAGGCACAAAAGTTTTTTGGCCTCTCACTAGTCTATGTGTAGTACGGGGGAACACCAACCAACCCGGATCTCTCCCCACCCACCAATCCGGATCTCTCCCCAGCCCGCGGGTAGGCTGGCACCACAGCTGTGGTGCGAGAGCAAGGCTGTACCAGTCCCTCATCACAGTGACGAGGGGTGGGCAGGTGGGGGAAATTGGCGGTGCTAGCGCCGAGCAATGGCCAGTCACTGCACCTCCCTCTACCCTCCCCCACCCCCACATGGCGGTGTCTAATGGCCAATATTGTCGGTGCATAGCAGCCAACAACATCAGCCAAGGTCCTGCCGAAGCTGGCTTGAGGGGCCAACGGGTTATCTCTAGCTGGTAGAACACCAAGCTTGCCCAGGCACATACGAGAGGCCAATGGGGATTGAACCCACGACTCCCGTATGCAACTTCTGTGCCTCACCAGCTACCCGCCTACCGGTAGCACTGGGAAGAGCACCCACGTCAGCAAAAGAAACAACCGCCGCATGTCTGAATGCGGGCCTCGCCACACCACTCTCCAAATGTGACAATGACAAAAATGTGGCGACGCATCTGGCCATGTTCTAGCAGGCGGTTCATTTTCATTTTGCACTTTTCGAGAGTGATGTGGCTACGCCCTGCGTCGGCCCGAGACTGGGAACAGTCGCAGTCACTGCCAGGAAGCTACGGACATATGCCTTCACATCTGTGCGACTCTGACTATGACACTGACTCTGACATTGAAATCGACACATGGCAAATGCGCGGGGAACGTACTCGAAGGAGGCGCACCCCGCACGTACCCACACGCCCTTTCCGCCAACAGCACCGTGAGAAAAAAGGGTGGGCGCGGGGGCCTCGCTCCACTACACAGCACTCTACATGCATTTGGACGCTTTCGGACCCCGATACGTTCGAAATGTTAGACTTGCGGAACAAACCTGCGCCGGAAAGCTTCCAAATGCATGGAGAGTGTTGTGTAGTGGAGGGAGGGGCCGGAGGGTAGGGTGACGGTGGGGTTTGGCTGGCTCCTTAGGGAAGGGCTGAGCGGGAGCTACAGCGTCGGGACGAAGGGGGGGCGGGGGGGGGGGAGGGGGGCGCAGATCGCAGTTTGCCCACATTTTGCGCACAGTTTGCCCACGTGGGGTTTGTTGAATTCGCGAGACTGGCGTGGCGCGGATGAGCTGGAGAATCGGACGGTCCCGCTCGTACTTGGCCTTGGTTAGAGTCTCTCTTTTTTTTTTTTTTTTTTTGGCTTGGTTCCAGTCTGCGGACTACTGAACCATGGTTTGGATCATGGTTGAGAAGAGTTACGGCATCGCCACACCACTCCCGCCATGTGCAAAATGAGATCGAACTTCCCCATAGAACATGGCCAGGTTCACTCGCCACATTTTTGTCTTTTTCACAATTCGAGATAGACTGGTGTGGCGAGGCCCTTAGCCTAACCCGCCAACGCGGCGCGCCAACGGTCGGAGGCAGCCCTTGCCTCGCTGACTGGATGCAAATTGGTTATTGGTTATTATTACCGACCGCATGCGCGCCAAAACTCGAATTGCGCGGAATTGCGGAATTGCGGGATGGCGGGGTGAAATTGCGGAATTGCGGAATTTGGCGGGGTGAAATTGCGGAATAGCGGCGGGGTGAAAAAGAGCGGTTGTGATATTCAGCGCCTGGGGAAGCGTTGATTATAGAGTTTTG